GATCTGCTTGAGAGAGTGTCATGGGGTAACATCCCGGAGCTAAGAGGGCCCATTGAGGCTGGCTGATATTTAAGGATCACCTTATCCAAGCCCAAGAGCAATGCATCCCGACTAAGATGAAATCAAGTAAAAACTCCAGGAGGCTGGCATGGATGAGCAAGCAGCTCCTAGAAAAGCTCAAACTTAAGAAGAAAGCACACAGAGGGTGAAGCTCAGGCAGGTACCCTGGGAGGATTACAGAGAGGTTGTCCAAGAAGCTAGAGATCAGGTAAGGAGATCCAAATCCCAGGTGGAATTAAATCTCAACAGGGATGTAAAGAGCAATAAGAAAAGCTTCTGTAGGTATGTTGGGGATAAAAGGACAACCAAGGAAAAAGTAGGCCCTCTCCTGAAGGAAATGGGAAACCTAGCTATGCAGCATATTGAGAAGGCTGAGGTTTCAATTACTTCTTTGCATCAGTCTTCTCTGGCAAGTGCTCCACGCTCATCGCAAAGGCCACAGCAAATGAAGACAGGGACTGGGAGAATGAAGAACCCCCCACTGTAGGAGGAGAACAGGTTCATGACCATCTAAAGAACCCAAAGATGCAGATATCTACGGGACCTGATGGAGTACATCCATGGGTCCTGAGGGAGCTGGCAGATGAAATTGCTAAGCCTCTCTCCACCATACGTGAGAGGTCATGGCAGTCTGGTGAGGTTCCCACCAAAGGTGACATGGCCCCTATTTTTAAAAAGGAGAAAAAGGAAGACCCAGGAAACTACAGGCCAGTCAGTCTCACCTCTGTGACCAGCAAGGTCATGGAACAGATCCTAATGGAAAATCTGCTAAGGCACATGGAAAATAAAGAGGCGATTGGTGACAGCCAACATGGCTTCACTAAGGGCAAGTCGTGCCTGATCAATTTGGTGGCCTTCTATGGCAAGGCCACAGAGATGGTGGGTAATGGCAGAGCAGCTGATATAATCTACCTAGATTTGTGGAAGGCATTTGACACTGTCCTACACAATATCCTGATCTCCAAACTAACAAAACATGGATTGGACAGATGGACCACTCAGTGGATAAGTAATTGGCTGGATGGCCACACCCAGAGAGCTGTGGCCAGTGGCTCAGTACTGGGACCAGTGCTGTTTAACAGCTTTGCTGCAGACATGGACAGTGAGATTGAGTATATCCTCAGGAAGCTTGCTAACAATAGCAAGCTGTGTGGTGTGGTTGACACCCTAGAAGGAAGGGATGCCATCCAGAGGGACCTTGACAGGCTGGAGAGCTGGGCCAGTGCCAACCTCATGAAGTTCAACAAGGCCAAGTGCAAGGTCCTGCACCTGGATCAAGGCAACCCCAGGCACAAATACAGGCTGGGGAGAGAATGGCTGGACAGCAGCCCTGAGGAGAAGAACTTGGGGGTGATGGATGAGAAGCTCGACATGAGCAGCCAGTGTGAGCTGGAGCCCAGAGGGCCAACCACATCCTGCTGCTGTATCAAAAGAAAAAGGGCTGGAGCACCTCTCCTATGAAGACAGACTGTGGGAGTTGGGGCAGGGGTCTCACGAGGACTACAGAGATACAGTGAGGCTACGCAGGGAGAAAATTAAGAGAGCCAAAGCCCAGCTAGAACTCAAGTTAGCTACAGCTATTAAAGGCAATAAAAAATGTTTCTATAAACATATCAACAGCAAAAGGAGGACTAGTGAAAGTCTCCATCCTTTATTGGTTGCAGGGGGAAGTTTAGTGACAAAGGAAGAAAAAAAGGTTGAGGTGCTTAATGCCTTCTTTTCCACAGTCTTTCCCAATAGAACTAGTTGTTCCCTGGACATGCAGACCCCTGAGCTGGAGGACAGGAAGAAGGGACAGAATCAACCTGCTGCAACACTTAAACATACACAAGTCTACAGGGCCAGATGGGTGGCACCCAAGAATACTGAAGCCTCTTTTCATCATTTACAAGAAGTCTTGACAAAATGGGGAGGTCCCAGTGGACTGGAGGGTGACAAATGCGACACCCATCTACAAGAAAGGCTGGAAGGATGATTCAGGAAACTACAGGTCTGTAAGTCTGACCTTCTTGCTGGGGAAGGTCATGGAGCAAATCACCTTGAGTGTTGTTATGCACCACTTGCAGAACAATCAGGTGATCTGGCCCAGTCAGCATGGATTTATGAAAGGCAGGTCCTGCTTGATGAACCTGATCTCCTTCTATGACAAGATGACCCACCTGGTCAATGAGTGAAAGGCTGTGGGTGTTGTCTACCTGGACTTCTGTGAAGCCTTTGACACTGCCTCTTACTGCATTCTCATGAAAAAAACTGGCTGCTCATGGCTTGCATGGGCATGCTCTCCGTTGGCCGGGTGGCCAGGACAAGAGAGTGGTGGTGAATGGAGCTAAATCCAGCTGGCAGCCAGCCACAAGTGGAGTTTTTCAGGGCTCAGTGTTGGGACCACTTCTGTTTAACATCTTTATCAATGACCTCGATGAGGAGACAGAATGCACGCTCAGTAAGTTTGCAGATGACACCAAACTGGATGGGAGTGTTGATCTGAGAGGGTCTACACAGGGACTGAATAAATATAGGTCAATGGGCTGAAGAAAACTGTATGAGCTTCCACAAGGCCAAGTGCCAGGTCCTGCACTTGGGCAACAACAACCCCAGGCAACGCTCCAGGCTTGGGGACATGTGGCTGGAAAGTGTCTGGCAGAAAGGGACCTCAGGGTGCTGATTGACAAGCAGCTGAACATGAGCCAGCAGTGTGCCCAGGTGGCCAAAAAAGCCAATGGCATCCTGGCTTGTATTGGAAATGGTGTTGCAAGCAGGTCTAGGGAAGAGATCCTCCCCCTGTACCTGGCACTGCTGAGGCCCCACCTCAAATACTGTGTTCAGTTTTGGGCACCTCAGTGCAAGAAAGAGATCGAGGTGCGGGAGTGGGTGCAGAGGAGAGCAACTAGGCTGGGGAAAGGCCTAGACAAGAGTCTTATGAAAAGTGGCTGAGGGAACTGGGCTTATTTAGTCTGAAGAAAAGGAGGCTGAGGAGACCTTATTGCTCTCTACAAATACCTGAAAGGACACTGTAGAGAGGTGGGTGCTGGTCTTTGCTCACAAGTAAACAGTGATAGGACAAGAGGGAATGGCCTATAGCTACACCAGAGGAAGTTTAGGCTGGACATTAGGAATTTGTTTTTCTCTGAAAGAGTTGTCAGGCATTGGAACAGGCTGCCCAGACAGGTGTTTGAGTCACCATCCCTGGGTGTGTTCAAAAGTCATATAGATGTGGAGCTTGGGGATATGGTTTAGGGGTGAATATGGTAGAATAGGGTTAATGGTTGGACTTGATGATCTTGAACATCTTTCCCAACCTAAATGATTATATGAGTCTATGATTAGGAAGAAATTCTTTACTATGAGGGTGGTAAAGCACTGGAACTGGTTGCCCAGAGAGGTGGTGGAGGCCTCTTTGTGCATTGTGGAGAGTGTTTGCTCTTGACCAAAGGAATGTGCAATGCTTGTGTCTTTGCCTCACAGACTGAGGGACAGGCTGAGACTTCAGGGCTACTCTGGAACTTCAAAAATTGAAATTTCAACACAGTTTTCAAATCCTTCCCTTTAAATTATCACAAATCCCAGCCTTGCTACATGGTCTACTCTAAAGAACTTTATGGGCTGTAGCTAAATGCAGACCCTCAACCCCCACCCCCCTCCCAGACCTTCTGCTCCTAAGCCTGACTCTGCCCTCAGCCATCGCACTCAGTCAGCTCAAGCAAGGAGACCCTCCTTTAGATAGAGACACATGGCACTGCCAAGTTTGAAGATGCCAGATCACAAGCTGGAGTTCCTTAAATCATGAAGATTGATTTTTAAAAAGCAGTGATAGACACTGAATTTTCACACATTTTGTTTTTCTCATTGCCCTTGCATCTTCTTTTCATGTGAAAAAGGCCCTGTTCACTCTCCAGTAGCCACAAAGATGGTTAGAGGAATGGAGCATCTGCCCTATAAGGAAAGGCTGAGAGAGCTTGGGGCTGTTTAGCCTGGAGGAGAGGACATTGAGGGGGGAATACCACAGTATACCAGACATACCACAGTACTCCAATTTGTGATACATATTTTATTTTCCTTCTTTTTACAAGCAAGAAAATCCCTGGATTAAAACAGTCAGAATTAATCAGGTGCCCCAAAGAGTTCACCAGGAAATGGCTGTCAGGATGAGTGGGATGGTTTAGTTCTGAAATCCAGTTTGAGATTTGCCCCAGCCCACTGAAGTGTGGCTTTACAGATGATGCATGACCTATCATACCAGAAGCAATAATTCAGCAGCCCTGGTGTCCTAGGGCATCTCGCACTAGTGGGATCCCTGTGGGCTGAAACAGTGAATAGTAAGGGAGGACCAAGTCCTTGTGAGAGCAAGAAACAGGGAGTAAGATAGAGAGCAAATAATATGATCCAAATTATTAACTGGGATACTAACAGCTAGGGAGACCAGGCTGTCACAAAGGACTCTAAAGGATAGTACTTCTCTGGTTTGATCTAGTGACCTTGTATTATCTCAGTCTCTCCCCAGGAAGAGGTGGGACTTTCCATACCCAAACAGTGCAAGCTGAAACTAATACTATGAATTCTGCCTCAGCGTTCTTCTGGAACAGTGCAAACCACCTATGAGCACTGTCACTCACTTGGCAGGCAGTCCCATGTACAATACTAGCCCAGACAGCCCTTCAGAGAGGCCTAGAAAATGGACCTGGTCCTTCACAGCATGGCCACATGTTAAACATTTCATGTCCTGCCTACAGGACAATTCAGCAAAAACTACATTCCAAAGTCCAGAAGGAAGAGGGCAGAGACTTAAGTCCCTGGAGAGAATTCCAGATATAGTCCTAGATGAAGGAAACATGCAGAATCATGCTGATACACAGGACTCCTCTGGGACAGAGAGAGATGGCTGGGGTTGCAGAGGAAAAATCACAAGGTCTGTACAGAAACTGAGGAAGGGACTCACACCTACCTCAGATGCAGAAGACGTTATAATAAGCCAGGGCCTGCTCCTCTGTAACAGGACAGGAGAGACCCAAGTTATTCTTGCACAGAACCAAGTGAAAACACCCAGACAGCCCGGGCACTCCATGTTTCCACACGCACCTGGATGGTAGTAGTCATAGACCCTGACATGGCCAGGCTTCAGATTGGTGACCCCAATCTCCCGCTCCAGATGCAGGACATATGTCTCAGACTTATGGCTCAGCTGGGGAAGAAGATGAAATAACAGTTCACTTGCAAGCTGTTCTTTTTATTCCTCACCTACATTTGATCTTGATAGGCCATAACAGCTTGATGGAGTCAAAGACAGGTCTTCAACATGAATCTTGAATGTCTTGTTCTGCTAGCCCAGCTCTGGCTTCCCCACACAACTATGCCGCTGTCCACTACTCCTGCAGCTTCTCTAGAAGCTCACACATACCTTGTCCAGGTAGATGGCAACACCTCCTCGTGTTTTCTCAGTTCTTCTCACAGGATGCCAATGCTGCAGCTAGGACAAGAGAGCAAAGGAAGCAATTTAGTTGGGTCTTTCAAAAAGCGAGTGTGAGACATCCCAACAAGGTTTATCTAAGCTTGGGTAGGCAGGTTCTTATGCACTCACTTCCAAATATATTTTGGGCTCTTAGCCCTTAAGGCTTATCTCCCTGCAGGGCCACTCAGCTCCTGCAAAACCCAAGGACCAGAACCTAGGCTACTTAGCTGTCAGGGATATGCTGAGCGAATCGGGCCAGAAGGATCACCATCCTCCAGGCACAAAAGGAGAGCTGACAGCATGTACTTGTGTTTATTGTGTGGTAGAGGAGAAGGGGTGGTGAGACTGCTCAGGAGAGAGACAGGCAACACCTTCCTATGCAACCTCCACCTCTCCTTGGGCTTGGCTGGTCCCACTGACACCACATCACCATCCTGATTCCAGGCTTCTTACAGACATCGGGGATCCTGGAGTAAGGGCGAATCCGGACAGCAGGGACACCTCCACGATCACCATGTTGGAAGTGGATCTCGTCCCAGTGTATCTGGGGGAGAATATTAAAAAAGCAGTCCCTTCCAGCTTCCTCTTCCCTCCACCACCACACCCAGTGTGCAGGGCTTTGAGCCAAGCAGCCCAGCCAGAACCAGGGTCAAGCCTGGTTGGCCTTTCTGGTCACTGCTCCCTCTCAGAGAAGGCAGATGGTGGCTGCTCTGCTCTCAGCCTCCCCAGTCTGAGGGGACTACTTGCACTCCTCTCCCCAGCAAGAATGAAAGCCCTCAGAAACATCTCCCCTTCCCCAGAGATACTTGTATCTTTCCTCTCCATCTTCCATCTGAACCTTCTGCTGAAACTTCCTTGTGCTTCCATTGCAGCCAAGAAGCACCCCTCAGCTTTCCAGCCATTCCTGGCTTTCCTTCCCAAGTGGAGCTGTCTTTACAGTCACCTGACATTGACATAGACAGTAACAGAGTGTGTATCATCTGTGCAATTAACTGGCTTGGTTTTCACTCGCAAGGCAAAGGATGTGGAGACCTGTGCAAAGGGCATGTTGTACCTCAGCACCATCTGCAGGGAGAGGCAAAAAGACAGAATAAGACATGGATAATTAGTTCAAGATCATCTATAATATCTTTTTCACTGACTAATCCTCAAGATATGGACCCAAATAGTGACTGGATAAACCATGCACAGTGAGCACACTCATTCCAGTACCCAAAGCCAGGGTCACTCAGATTGAAAACCTTCCACAATCATTCTAGTTGGGGCTATTTCTCCTCATCATTCCCCTTGAGAATGCACACTGCAGTGGGACCACTATACAATGTTTCCATCCTTTGTTAGCCTGAGAGCCATGGAAGCATCACTGTCCTCACATGTGGACACTTTCTGTCTCTGAGTCACCTACAGCACATAGGTTGACTGCATTGGTAACAGGCTGGGTTTAAAGCCCAGTTAATGCACATTTTTTGCATAGAACTGCAATGGAGAAATTTGGTTTTGACAAGACCATGAGCAGAGAGCTGTCACAACAAGGTCTGTGGTAACCTACCCGGGTAAAGACACAGCAGCTGCCATGAGCCTGCACTGAGAAGTTTCCTTGGACTTCTGTCAGTGTTGCCTCCTGCACCAATAGCCGGTTCTGGTATGAGACTTGGAATTTCCTCCCAAAGCCTGTCTGGGACCTCACCCTCACTTCTGCACCCCCTTTCGTGCTGTGTGTCAGTGCTGCATACTTAGCCAAGGCCTGCAAGGCGACCACTGTGTCCTGCAAAGGAAGAAACAATTACATTTGCAGCTCTGAGACCCAAAGGCACTTGTACTCGCTGTCCTGGGGACCTCCATATACACGGGCTTCTCTCCTCAAAGTGTTCATACTTGCATGATTGTGCCTAGACTGTGCAGAGGTTCCTTCTCAAGCAACATCGCCTTCCCCAGCCACAAGTTACCTGTGTTGAAGCAAACCCTCCATAGGCATTCTGCTGCCTGGTGAGCCAGGCCACAATGCTGGAGGCTGTGGTGAGATCAGACCCTGTGACATTTGGCTTGGAGAGCAGGGCCAGGAGAACATAGGCTGTCATCTCCACATCCACAGGCAGTGGCTGTGACCAAAGGCTGCCGCTGTATCTGGACTGGGATAAGGTCTGGCTCCAGTGGATCTGGCCACCTGGGAAAGGAAGAGAGTAGAGACGATGTTGAGGGATGTCAGGGAAGAAATCCGGAGGCCTATGAGGCACAGTGGCTTGTGTTTGGAAAGACCATTGAGTAAATCCCTTTTGGCTGGGTTATCATGTCACTGGGTCAATTGCCATGGCATGTACTTTGCAATATCCAACACTCCAAGGTGATTACACACCAAGGTGATACACAAAAACTAGTGTGCCAATAACCTGCATGCACTGCATAGACTGTGTTCCTCCCAGGCTGCAAGGGCTCAGAAGGGTCCCTTCTCCCTTCTCTGATGTTGACCTGGCACTGAGGTTCCCATACCTGCTCTGATTGCCTTTCGGTCAAGCAGATCAAGTAGCTCTTGCATGCGTCGAGAATCCTCAGCTAGGGCAAAGGTGTAGGCCAGCAGGGCCTGTGTGTAAGTGCTGGAAGCTTTGAGAAGGGAAGAACTGATGCAGCCCAGAGCCTTGTGCACCACTGCACTCTGCAGAGAAGAATGACATTGGGCACACATAAATGCACGAGGCAGGCGAACACTAAGAAACAAAAGCAGAAGGATGCTTGAGCATTTGTCAGCACAGAAAGCATCCCACGCGTTCTCCAAGGTGCCTTGGTGCTTAAGCCTTCACTCTTCTGTTTCTATCAGTGCAGCAATAGTAAGCAGTGTCTCCAGCCCTTTGTGTAAGGTACTTGACAGAGCTCCACTAAGCTGGCCATGGGTTTCAAAAGTGCTCTCCCAGTGAAATGAATTATTTACTGCTGTAATAACCCTAACACGTCTTGCTTTCTAAGTCCAAACACAACAAGAACAACAAAACACAATGGCAAATACTTACGCCCCTCCTGCTGACGGAATTACTGTGTTCAATTCACCTCTACAGTGCCTTATGAGGTCACTGGGATTTCCAGTTTCCCCTGGAACACCAGTTCTGCTGTTGGCAAAAGGCAGCAAACCCACTGGTTTCAGCAGCAGTGTATTTCAGCATTCAGCTATGCTATTCCAAACTTGAATCAAAGGCTTGCAGTAGTTACCTGCCCCATACATGTGCACTTGCAGCACTTCATGGTTTACCCTCTTCCAGTGGCCTCTTGGTTAAATACAATAAGGATCACACAAGGGCTACATTTAACATTTATTCTGACATATGACATGCTCCTAGCCTCCTTCCTTTCTAGGAAAGTGAAAAGGTGATGTTTGTGTCATCTTTGTGCTCTGTAGATGGTGGAGTAGCATTGCTGGGTGCAGCCACCAAATCTCAGAAATGCAGTATCAACTCATAGAATACAAGAAGTTCCTGGCATCCAACTGATGCTTTTTGGTTGTTCCCTCTTATTATAGCTCAGTGGAAGTGGTAAGCTAAGCTTCCATAATTTCAAAAGTCCTACTAATGCTTCTCAAAGTTTATAGCAAGGGCATTTCTCCATCCAGTTGGCTATTTTTTTTACTGCCAGGACTAAAGAGTAAATAGTTATGATCTTTAGCACCTATTACGACTTAGATGTGCAACTCCAACTGCCCTACTTTGCAACATATCTCTTCCTACAACACTCCTTTCACAGACTTCCCTTTCTGGGAAGCTAAAATACGTTAAAAATGTCATTATGGCTGTGTATTTGACTGTGAGAGCAGCTACAACCTCTCCTTCTTACCACCTCACCACTAGCTCTCAGTTGTGTATAGTACAAAGAGTAGCAAGGAAGTGGGAGGATGGAGTGGGGGGAGCA